CAGACCAATCAAATAGTAAATAGTTTTTTAAAGCCCTTTTAATGATATAAACTACCATTCTAGTAATATACATGATAAAGTCAAAACGTTGGGCAAAATTAACTGGTGTTAAAAAGTTGTTGAGGGGTTCCATTCTCAATACTGATGCGGTTAATTTCTGCATAGCATTAACTACACTGTGTATGTATACCTTTCAACTTGTAATATGTTTTAGCCCCGGGGTTTTAGCTCTTTGGGATGAAGGATTTAGAAAGATCAAGGCTAATGGAATATTCAGAAACTCTGTGATTCAGCTGCACACAGTAAGTATAGTGTTGCTCATTTTACACAAGAGCCTAATTAAGTATCATTCATATAGGAAAATAAACACAATCAACGTCACGTCCAAGTAAGGTCGTATAGGCTTACATTATTGGATCACTGTTCCACAACTAGGTTCTTTGACGGAACGTCAATGTAACAAAATGGATGAACTTCCTGGATACGAGTTTTTTGTTTTCTCGATTTAAACCTACTTATAAGTCATGTTGCAGATTATAATAAGGCATAAAGCTAGAAAATATAGTTTAGTTTAATAATTTTCTTCGATTTGCAATTTGTTTTGTAAACAAAGTTGCAATTCATATATTTAGCCCCTCGCTTTTTAACATTGACGAAAGTACGTTATATTACCAATGTATATTACTTTGACGACTTACGTCAATGTAACAAAAGCGATGGTCTAAATGCATGAATTACAGCTTTATTTAAAAATCAAATTCAAACCCGAGAGCATTTCTAAAAGCTAGACTATATTGTCTAACTTTGTGTCAAATGACAATTCGCAACATGACTTATAGTTTAAATCGAGCAAACTAAAAATTCGTATCCAGGAAGTTCATCCATTTTGTTACATTAACGTTCCGTCAAAGTAACTAGTTGTAGAACATTGTGAATGCAACAGTGCAGTTATGACGTCATTCCTAGTTAAGACGTGGAATTCAAAATCTATAATTCAAAATCAATATAACTTATTTACAGGTGACGAAGGTACGATTGACTGTGTGGCCAGCTAAAAATAGGATCCAAACTGAATGACAATCGGTATAAAGATATCACGATAAAATAGGATCATACAGCACTATGATTACATTTTGGCGGATAACGTGTATGAACTTTTGTGACACCCCGCATATACCGTTTACGTTACCAAAATTAATAAAATAAAATAATAATACACTGATTACGTAACTTTTTGCATATTTTGTAAAAAATAATAAAACTGAAAGGAAATATTCAAAAAATTCTCTATAGAATTCTAAATTCTAAAAGTATTAGAAACGTGTAAATTGTTTTTACTACTTTTTGGCACTTGCTAATGATAGATATAACTCAGTCAATAAGCCTGGAGATAATTTGTCGGCGTGATAAAAATAAATCATGACATATGTAGGTATGTAGATGTTAGGTGCGCCTCTCTTAATTTATTCTCTGTTGCTTGAGATATGAATTCATTTCTAATTGTGAGTACATAACCTAAAGGTGTACGTTCGCTCATATTGCCTACAGTGGCAAAATCATTATATTCATCCATTATATGCAGAGTGGCCCAAAATAATGCAAAAGTTCTATTGTTGGAATATTTAAGTAATTGTCATTAAATCCACATGAATGTGACGTAGTTGAAGGCTTCGAATGAAGGAACAATATGGTGAGCATGGACTTTCATTAGCTTCTACAACCTACAGTTTGGACCATACATAAATGAGACAGATTTGCTGAAGTGAGGACTACTGAATCGACTAGTACTATTTTATTTGTACATTAAAGTAGGTCGACAAATCTCGTTTCCCACAAAGACATGCTTTCACGCTAAGCCCACCCCAAACATGCAGTGTTTAACAATATTTTTCAAATAGCCATGCTTTATTTGGACATTTTATATGCCTTCGAGACATAAGATACAAGCATGTTGTTGTTTGATATACAGGGTGTTTCATAATGACCGTCCCCACATTAACCGCCAATCCTAAATAGCATAGGCTACCACCATATGTTATATATCGTATGGAAGCTTTTTCAATTCTGGACTTATTTAAATAACTTTGAATAGGCTCAACAGGCTTTACAACTTGATTCATACCTCTACAAAAGGTACCCATTTCAAACCATTACACTATAATACACTATGATCTAGAGTGACGTACAACTTATAACATTTGATGGATGCTGAGGATATATCCTGGTGATATTTGAAAGACAAAAGTATAAAATATTTCAAATAAATACCAAGGGATGATTCAAAAGTAATGGACAAAATTTTATAGGCACGTTTACCTTTACCAGATTTGAATGAAACTTTGTACAAATAAAGATTAAATCAATTATCTATTAAATGTTAAAATTCTATTAAATAAATGCAAATACATTTTGAGATAGAGCACTTCTCTTGGATCATGGTGCATACACCCGGAATCCATTTTTAAGGCTATTTTCATCGTAATAACAAATGGATTTTCAATGAAAAGTTTGCTGGTGCGATATGTTTTGCAATGCAAGATGTATATGAAAAGCATATCGCAGTAAGTTCAATAATAATCCATATCATTCCTTATTATTCCTGATGATCATCCATTTGAATTATATTCAATCCTCAATGTATTCTCCTCCAAGTTCAATTACTTTCTTCTGTCGGCGCACCCATGCAGAGAACACATGCCCAAATCCATCAGCAGCCATGGTGTTCAGCTGTTTTTGTACAGCCATTTGCAGCTCATCTAAAGTCTGAAAGGATTGTCCCTTTAATGCCATCTTAAGGGTGGGAAAAAGATAGAAATCACAAGGAGCAGTATCAGGGCTATATGGAGCATGTGGAAGTTGAGGCATGTCCATGAATGCTGCAAGAGTATCCTGAACTAGCTTGGACCTGTGTGCTGGGGCATTGTCCATGTGTAACAAACGATTGTATCTTGTGTCTTTCCTTTTCTTTTGAAGTGCCTGTCCAAGATTGCATTTTAGAACCTGAAAGTGAAATATCATTATTTATTTATTCATTCATTTATTTATTTATCTATTTTCAAATTATTAATCTTGCTTAAAGCTATTATGACTTCATTCTCTCCTTTTAAATTGACAATGATTAAAACGGATGAAAATATCATGTTTACCTTGGTGAAGTATTTCCCTGTGATAGTCTGATGAGGAGGAACATAGTGGGTCAGGATCACGCCATCATAATCGAAGAAGGGAACAATCATCATTTTGTCAGAGGATCTGCTTTGCCTAGCCTTTGTTGGGCGCCGCTCACCCTTTTTTATACTACTGTGTTGATTGTAGTTTAGTTTCTGGATCTCTAATGTATAGCCATGATTCGTCAGTAGTGATTATATACGCTTTAGGAATCCTTCTCCTTCAATGTTGTATTGCTTCAGAAATCCTGCGCAACTTCGACACGTTGTTGCTTTTGTTCTTCGGTAAGGAGCTTAGGAATCCACTTGGCACACACCCTTTTCATATTTAGGTTGCATTTTACAATCCTTTGTACTGTAGAGTAGGACACATCTGTAATGGAACTTATTTCTCTCAGTGTCAATCTCCTGTCTGCATTTAGGATGGACTCTACATGGTGAATAGTGTTATCAGTGCGGCCAGTCTTGGGCCTTCCAGATCGCTTTAGATCTAAGACTCTCGTATCCTCTTCATTAAAGTGTTTGTACCATCGCTCAATGGCTTGCCTTGACAAGGCCTTGTCTCCATGTGTCTCTTTTATTTTCTTGACAACTGCCTGCCTTGTCTCTCCAGTAGCTACCAAATATTCAATAACAATCCTTTGCTTAACTTTGATTCGTTGTAAAGTAGACATTTCTTGGATGTGTGTGAGTCTAAGAGTCTGATCTACTTTCTGACTCACTGTGACTCATCATTCTTAGAAATATCATTGTGATGTCATAGCACAATTGGTTGCTGAATTTAGAACTCAACAGCAAACACATGGGCATGTGAGTCTTGCTTGACAATTGCATTACCATGCTTGTTAGACATATCATGTGTGGTAATTGAGTCATTAAAACGAAATCAAGCAAAAATGACAAAAACATTCAATTATCATTAAAAACCAATTCCACCCATGCTTACCCTTGTTACCATGGTTACGCATAGCTGAAACAATTTCAAATGCATTTAAATGAGAATTCGACACAAAGTAGAGAATTGATTGATCTATTCACTGTGAAAAAATTAAGACTGATTGGGTGAAATTTAGTATGCCTATAAAATTTTGTCCATTACTTTTGAATCACCCCTCGTATTACTGAGGAATGGTACCCGCAAGTCACACAAACTGAGGGTATAATGACAATCAAACACAAGTTTACAAATTAAGTTCCCAATCACCAGTTATGCTAAACTTTGGCACATAACTCCAGAATTGAATAACCTTTATTATGGTATATAGATTATGGGGCCACATGATCTAGGATTGGTTGTGGATGGGGGAACGGTCATTATAAAACACCCTGTACATCTATCACGTGATATACAAACGTATACAGGTGCGTAGCCAGCAAAGGGGCGTATATATTCCATGGGTCATAATTTTTAATGGTAATGTTTTAGTCATAGATCAAAGGCTAAATGAATCAAAATAAAAGAGGAAAATGGAAGCATAGATTATTATTGGTATTTACTGATAAGATCATCTTTATCAGTTTTTCGAATTTCTTAAGATATGCAGGCGGTTCTATGTATATTAACGAAGACCCAATTCACATATTAAGTCCCTCGCTTTTGTTACGTTGACGATCTTCATGGATATTGCCAATGTAACATTGCCAATGTGACATTGGCAATACTGTAATTGGTCTGAATTTATCTTTAAGTCCCTTTTACATACATTTTACATATTTTCCCGACCCTCGGCGTAATATTGTAACATTCATAGTCTAGCTAAATGACCTTGCACACATGAAGCGTTTAGTTCACTTAGGGAGGGGTGTCAGTTAGGGAGAGGCTTGTAGCAACACTATAACATTCAGGATTCCTTTGTAACTTTTCGTTTTTGCTAATACCGAGCTATACGATTTGAATAGATTTGTTTTGAATGTTTCAAGTATACAAACTGCTTTCATACAGTTTGCCAACTTTTGAATGGTATCGTCTGTAACTTTATTTTTAATACAGCTATTAAAAGGTATGTCAGGACAAAATCAATAACATCGAGGGGTCACGGTTAAATATTTCCAGTTAAAGTTGACTACAACAGCTTCATTTTTATATTAGGATTTTAAGATATCCTTAAGATTGCAAACACGATGAATGGAGCAGAGGGTGCTACCGGAAGCACAGTGAATCTGGCAGGGAGCAATAATGGGGGACAGGGTGAGTAGGAAATTAGTGAAACTTTAAAACTGCCTGAATAAACACAATCTATACACCATATTGAAATGTCTGTTATACATAAAATTCAAACAAGATATGCGTCGTTCACCCTAAAAATGAATAGTTTTCTATAGTACTGAGCCCATGAATACATACTGGTTATAAAATGATTTCAAAAGTGCCATGTAATGTCAATTTTCAACTGCATTTGCACAAACTTAACACAGTAAGGATGAAAAAACGAATAATTGATATAACATAATACAGATATTTTAATACATATTTACGACTTCGTCCCTTTGCCTCAGCTCCAGTGCATTTATTTAAAAGCTAGACTGAGATATGACATAGCTTATGATTATTCAGTGATAAAATAATTAAAAACATATTTCATACATCGTGCATATTATTTTTCCATCTTTCTCATGTATGGTAAAAGCACTAAAAACTAACTAAGGACATTTGTAGCCTGTGTCTGTAGGCCTATCTCATTCCAGGCCTGAAGTATCTGGAAGAATTGAAAAGGGTTATTTCCGATGAATAAAAACAAATGGTTTGAAAAACAACTTACTAAAGAAAAATATCCATTTCAAATGAATAGAAAGACACAAAGGGGACTTTGTAGGAATTAAGTTTACATTAATTTCTACATATATTTATGTTCATTGTATATTTTAGTCAACTCCCGACTGTTGCTTATTTTGATTGCGGTACTTGGAGTAATAGCAATCATAGGGTTAATATTGGCAGCTGTTGCGTTGGGCAGACCCGCTGGAACCTCCGTGACAGTCCAGGTATGACGGGGTCGGGTAGTATAGTATTCACAACTTTATCCATATCTTTAGGTCAAATATACGTCCTTGGCCAGAATGACTACGTATAATAATTATAGTTATCATTGGAAATATCATTTAGAAAGTTTTACTCTATGTTTTGCTATCTGATTGCTAGCTTAAGCGGCCATTATTTTCGTTTGTAAACGTAGGTCGTTTTTACATGATACCTAGTAAAGCAGAAAGCGCAAGAATATCTAACCCACAACAACCGAAACACTAAGTACAATAGCAACCATGTACTAAATTGTACACGTATCATAACATTGTATTTAAAATATGCTATTATCTCAATTTAACATTGCTAGCCGGCTGTAAGTGGTGATGGGTCAGCGGCGAAGGTCTCTCAAAGTGGCAAAAGGATCTGGAGTATTGCAAACGGCCATGACTATGGAGCATACGAGTATATGTAAGTTAAGGTACTCCAATTGTGCCCCCATCTTTCAAAGTAATAAAATTTATTGTTCTTTTAAAAGACCTACACTCCCCTCCATAAGTTAGGCAACAGGCTAACTCCCTCATTGAATTACGTGCTCAAACCTATTTATGTTTGAATCATTTTTCGATGAGGGAGTTGCCAGGCTTATGGAGGGGAGTTTAGTTTTGGATTATCTTGGATTTTGGTTACTACTAGATAATAAATAGCTAATTCTCATAATATTGTTTTTCAGAGATGACGAAGGATACCTACAAGGCTTTTCCTATGACCTTATAAAAGCTGGTAAGATCGAGACAATTTATTTTTCTCATAAATGAACCAGTTCATCTTTCTCAGACTGGATGTAATTACCGTATTATAAAATTAATAATCCGAGTGTTGGAGATTTGATTAGTGATTATTGGAATTAGTTTTGTCCAGTTTGAAAAAGTTTAATATATAAATGTACACTAGATTTAAACACGACCTGAATTTTTAAGATTTTAGAATATCTCATTAATGAAAAAAGACTAGCCAACCGAACTCAATTTACTAAACTACGTCGTAGCGATCACAAACTAGAAATTGAAGCTGGTGGTAGACACAATCCGCCAGTTCTGGTTTGCCATAGTTTGACTTCCTCTTAGTTCGCAAAATTCGAATCATATTCAATAACGACACGTTCAATTATCTAACGTAAATTATTCTGCACATATGACGACACACAATTCACACATTCATTTTGTACTCCAGTGTGCGATGCGGCCGACATGGACTGTAGAACCGTATGGGACAAGTATAGCAACTGCATGAACTCTGAAGCAGGGGAGCATTCGATGGGAGGACAAGGTTCGATCTTTTATCGAGGGATTAGCTAAAAAGTTAAATATCGGATTACTAATAGAAAAATATGTTCCTGACATATCTCCTTAACTTATGTCGAATGTTTATTCATGGCATTTTGTTTGAATGTTTTAGATCTACAGGTACACTAATTCAACGTAAAGTGATTTCATATTTGAAAATATAATCAGATGACCATCGCCTTATTAAATAAATCAAATAAAGTAGGAAGGAATGTAATATGAATAATTTTCAAAAATGTCACAATTTTACAAGTCAACAATTAACATTAGGCATATGATTGTATGCGAACATTGGCCATGCCCTGCCTTGTGGTGAAAAGTTTGCTTCCAACAAGTTTTCACGCCCTGGTGTTTGTCCCATCAAGGTATTACAATCCGACATAAAATAAGATCGACCTGTCGATGAAACGAACGTGTTTTGATCACTTTAGGTCTGCTAGACGGATGGTACGATGCATGTATGAACTGGTCTCCAACCATTGGAAGAACACACGTTTTCTCATTTTCCGAATCCTATGACAAACCGACCATGGCACAGTTTTATGTGAAAAATGATGATTCCACTTTCAATCCAAGTGACATTACTGGGAAGAAAATAGGTACGTTGATTTCAAATTTCACGTCAATTTGGGTTATTTTAAAAAGGTACTCTGGAACCCAGTAGCGGCTCATACAGATGGTTTTCTCAGGTGTCGGCCGTCAATTCAATAATTATGTTGTTACAAACAATAATTGGGGAGGCCGGGTGCGGAACGTATTTTGCCCCACTGGTCGTTGTGTTGCACGTACATCCCTTGTATTTTCTTGATATCAAAAATCTTCATCCAAGCAGAAATCGATATTTTGAATGATATTGGACATTTTTAGTACTTTTAGTCGGTATTTAGAATACACTGACAGAAGATAAAGAAAACAATGATAGATGAGTACAGTGCGGGTATTTTCAAACCTTACAGCATCGGTAACCATACGATGCCGTCGCGCGTCTGCTCTTTATGGTGATCGCGAGTGTTGTGTGTCATGTGTGAGCAACATACATTGATTTCACTGTAGGTTTCATTGATGGATGGGCGTACGATGAGAAATGCGTTGCCAGACAAAAAGGGTCCATCACGGGGTCGACTTTAGATCGTGCTAACATTGTTCATGTTAGCAGTCCAACTGAACTCATTCAAATGATAACCAACGGCAAGGTAAACCAACAATACAATTCTCTTTCAAAAATGTGGCGCGCAAGTCGCATTTTGGACATTGTTAGAGCGAGGTGGTTGGTGATTTCAAGAATTCCATCATAGTTATCATAATTTGCCCAGATATTGTATTATTCGGGATCGAAATTAAGATTCACACACAAACGGGCTTTGATTAAATAACGCTATCCAAATGATGACTGCCGATTGTAAAACTTATGGGGAGGGGGGTTCTAACTGTGGTCAGCTGTTGAATTCTTGATTATTTAATAGGAAGGGGAAAGCAATATTTATAGATTGGCTTTTTCTGATCAGCTGATAACATGTAGCATTCACAGCTAACAAAAAGATTAATTTCAGAATGATCATACAATGTACACTAGTTTAAATTAGGTAAGTATGAAATGTTTTGGAATGCAAGACAAAAATATATGATTACCAAGATTACTTTAACAATGAGTAACTCTTGTTTCAAGACAAATCAGTGGCGTAGCGTCATATACGCATAAAACGCCATAGCGTACTCTCAAAATTTAGAGAAAAGTGAATTTTTGATATTGAAATGACCCACGTTTGATATTCTGAAGTAATGCCTAACATTTTATTAATCCATATTATTTTTTTGTAGTCGGAATTTCGTATTTTAAAACGCACCAGAACGCTTCAAATGCAATCTAATTTTTTCAAGTTTCCTGGGGGGAAAGAACCCCCACCCCCTCAAAGCTCGTTCGCTTCACTCACTCGTGGCGTACACTCATAGAATACCCACGCTACGCCACTGCAAATATATGATGATAATAGGCCTGTAGCCAGCTTTTTCAAAAGGAAGTTCACTTTTTAAAAATTCCAAGAGGGTTCACTTATGACAACTTAAATAAATGGTCCAAAAATAGCCAAAAGCACTTGAAAAGTGCTCAGAATGGTGACAACTGCATGCTTTAAAAAATGATTGGCCACTCAACCCCCAACTCCTCCCTGGCTATGAGCCTATAATACATGTTTTACTTATACGATAGCCGCCCTATATCACAGGTAGATGCAGTGTTCACGGGAGAGGAGAATATGGAGACAGCTGTTAAAGACGGTACAGTGAAGAAATCTGGTGGTGACATTAGTTGTATGCTGGGAGGAAATGCAGTAATGGCCAGACAAGACAGTTCTTTCATTGGTAATTAAATTAATTAACTAATTAAGAGTGAAAACTTCTTGATTATTGAACATAGCATCATGATCAACCATGACATCTCAAATCTTCTCAGCCCTGAGATAATGTTTCAAGTGAAACAGAAAGATGCTACGAGTATCAGAATGGAACAGACTCAAATTATTCTCGTAGTGTATTCCTTTCAGTGTATGAAGCACATACAGGGTGAGATAAAAAGGATAACTCAAACAAATGTTAATAACTCAGTTATTCAGCATGGGTTTAGGTCACATATTTTTCCATTCTACCAAGTTTCATGGTCTTATCCATTTATTCTTTAATGATTATTTTGCAAAACATGCTCAAAACGAGGTTCATTTGTGCAAAATATAACTTAAAACACATGATTGATGACTGAGATATTAACATTTGTTTGGGTTACCTTTATTGGCTCACCCTGTAGATAATGTCTTCAAGATGATATACCGTAAAAGCCTACATATAATAAGACAATCTACAGTACATGTAGTTTTCAAAATGTCTTCAACTGACCCTTGTTAAATATACACGTCTGTAATAATAAATTAATTTGTTGCAAAATATAAAACACAACTTCTAATTCATGTAATCAAATGACAATGTTTCTCCTAATTTTATAATTTTAGCCCTATGGAATGAAGGATTCAGAAAAATCAAGGCAAATGGAGATTATGATAAGCTTTGCGATACGGATAAGCACAGTGAGTATTGTGAGAAGGATGATATGTTCTCATGTGCCACTTGGACTTTTTAGTTGCATTCCCTTGCAGGAAAATTTGGATAGTTCAGGCAGATTTTAAGCCAAAGACAATCTGTGACACAGTCTTCACATTTCAATTTTGAAATTTTTTTGTTACGTTAAATTGTAAATCCATGGCTACTTTGTGCACTAATGGCCTAAATTAATAAATGGCCTAACACATGAGGGATCTGAATTTATTTAATGAAATATACTCCATAAAATACTATGCTGGTAACACTTTTTTATAATATTTTTTGTGTATCATTACAAACAACAAAATTATATAGTATCAAGGTATACAGGGCGTTCATAAAGTTCTTGCAAAAGTTCTCTAGAATTTTTGTATCGCAGTCAATCTGGCTGATATTTTCACTCAGTATACCTACACTATTCATACATTGAGATCTTAAGTTATAATGAATAAGTCCTCGAGGAAAAAAGTTATGGTTGTTATAGTCACATGAGTCAGGGGTAGGCGGAGCAGGCAAAAAAGGATCTGTTTTGTTTGAATGTTAAAAATGTTTTTAACTTGTCCTATTTACTTTAATAACAGTATCTCAAGAGTATAGGTGTTCAAAATAGTGTCTATGGTGGTCTATACACCTCTGCTGTCTTACTTACCATTCCTCAAATAGATAGGGGAACCCATTTGGAAAATATATTGCGATTGATCTTTGTATGGATGGCTTTCAACAACGTCATCTGCACTGATCCTCACTGAATTTTGTTCTTCGACGGCTTAATTTAGCATTGTCCTTACCATTTGTTCTACCATCAGTAAATGTCTTAGTCTGTTTTGCAAATGGTTCTTTTGGCCATAGCCTACTTTCAAAACACCTTATGAATATCATCAAGTGTATGTTTTTTTGAATTTCCCAGTAAAACATACATCCCAATGCTACTGATTATTTGTAATTGCAAATCATCATATTTTGCTGATTTTGCAGCCATTTCCACAAAATGAAATTGACGTTGCCTTTCACAAAGTCCGATGTCAACAACCTATATAGGTCACTACGATACCATGAGTGATGTCATGAATCAAAGAAATTTTAGCTATGATGTCATCATATGACATCATGTTTACATGGCAACATTGGCTTGTTTTGTATTTTCAAGGATACTTTAAAGTATGTTAAAGTTATCTCTAACCCATATTTTTTATCTAAACTTTTCTTTATTTCAATGCTGCTCCGCCTACCCCCGATTCGTGTTACTCTAGAAATCATAACTTTTTTTCTTCAAGGACATATTCATTATTATTCAAGATTCAAATGTATGAATAGTGTAGGTATACTGAGTGGAAATATCAGCCAAATTGATTGAGAAACAAAAAAATTAGAGTACTTTTGCAAGAACTTTATGAACGCCCTGTAAACATCAAAAATGCAACCAACCGCCTAACACCTTTGACAAAAAGGTTGGAGACAGTAACGAAATGTCAATACTTCTTGTGGTGACATAATTACTGATGAGTTTGTGGAATTTTATTTCATTATGACCTTAGCTATAAGATCCATGTTCCCAGACTTATCAGTGGATATAAAATCAAAACTTCTATCATTTTTTATTTCATTTCCAGGTAGCAAAGGAACAGTTGGTTGTGTGCCAAGCATGAAGTAGGTTTCACAATGCTGTGTGTGAATGTAACAATTCAAATTACAATTGAGAACAATATTGTATAGAACATCATAATCCTGGCACACCCTGGGTATAGTCTGTCACGTGACTTCATGGATGACGTGTGCGCGAGTGATTAGCATTTTCTTTCGCTTGAGGTTTGTAATCACACTTTTTACATGTTTTAAGATTTTGTATCTCTGTGAAACTTGTCCCGTACCATCAATGTCTGAAGACGATCTAATTCACCAAATATCTCATCCAAGCGTGTCCCGGTTAAAGAGAAATTTGCACTTTTGTGTCTCGCAAAATGACGTGTGTGCGAGTAAATCGAATTTTACGAAAGATGGGTGCGCGAGTCTAACTTATTTTTATTCACTTGAGACAATTCTGCAAGCTAAGGCAGAATACAACTCACGTGGCATTTGTTTTTGTCATCTTAAAGTAGTATGTTAAAGAATAGTTTGCTATTTTGTAGATGTTTCATGTATGGCACATACATGTCTACGTTTAATGACAATAAATGTTTTGAAATAGCTTGTAGGGCTGTCCGGCATTGCAGGTGAATTAAAATTTGAACCAAAAATTGAATTAAATTTTTGGCGGTCTCATAAAACCGGCAGCATATTCATTTATTGACATCCCATACAAGGGGGGGGGGGTCAGAGTTGTTATGTGGTTACTCGGCATCCGCCACGATCAGAACCATGTAAGGAATAGTAAGGGGAAGCCCATGATACCAAGTAATATCAAATAATTATAGGAGCTTCTAACTTCTTCCGCATCCCCACCCTTGGTATACGCAGCTGACGAAATGGACCGGTATGGGTCAAAAGCTGGACCTGTACGGGTGAACTTTGGGGGTACTTAAAATCATTCGGAGGGATCATATATTTCAACTTAGATACGAAGAAGTCAATATTGAGCAAGTTATCTGTTTTAAATTCAAATAAAACCGTTAACCCGTACCGGTCCAGCTTTTGACCCGTACCGATCCATTTTGTCAGCTGCGTATACCAAGGGTGGGGATGCGGAAGAAGTTAGAAGCTCCTATAATTATTTGATATTACTTGGTATCATGGGCTTCCCCTTACTATTCCTTACATGGTTCTGATCGTGGCGGATGCCGAGTAACCACATAACAACTCTGACCCCCCCCCCTTGTATGGGATGTCAATAAATGAATATGCTGCCGGTTTTATGAGACCGCCAAAAATTTAATTCAATTTTTGGTTCAAATTTTAATTCACCTGCAATGCCGGACAGCCCTACAAGCTATTTCAAAACATTTATTGTCATTAAACGTAGACATGTATGTGCCATACATGAAACATCTACAAAATAGCAAACTATTCTTTAACATACTACTTTAAGATGACAAAAACAAATGTCACGTGAGTTGTATTCTGCCTTAGCTTGCAGAATTGTCTCAAGTGAATAAAAATATGTTAGACTCTCGCACCCATCCTTCGTAAAATTCGATTTACTCGCGCACACGTCATTTTGCGAGACACAAAAGTGCGAATTTCTCTTTAACCGGGACACGCTTGGATGAGATATTTGGTGAATTAGACCGTCTTCAGACATTGATGGTACGGGACAAGTTTCACAGAGATACAAAATCTTAAAACATGTAAAAAGTGTGATTACAAACCTCAAGCGAAAGAAAATGTGAATCACTCGCGCACACGTCATCCATGAAGTCACGTGACAGACTATACCCATGGGCATGAAATCTTCAGTCAATCAAGAAATACCCTGACAGGCCTGTTGCTAGCTTTTGCCATTGGGGGTTCACTATTCAAAAACTTCAAGGGGGTTCATATTTGTCAAATTTAGCCCAAGGTCACTTGAAAACTGCTTGATTTTGAAAGATACTTTGGCTCAACCTCAGCCCGACCCCCTGGCTATGGGCCTGCCCTGATGCTGATTGCCATAAAGTTACCAGTAATAGAAATTACAAGTATGCAGCTCTCCTTTAAAGCAATTGGAAAGAGTGCTTGAGCAACATGTGGACACTGAAACGAATAACAGACACATTCCAGAAAAATTGAAACACCATCCAGATTTACAGTGAGCAGTGACAATTTAATGTTTATTTCCAATAAAATATTTTTTAAATATGTAAATAGTACATAAAGTATGCATTTCATATACAGTTAAACCTGAGTACACGTCAGTGAACACCTACCTATAGTGAACACATTTTTATGGCTTCATAAGCAATTTTATACAGAACTCAGTGGAGTATGTGCTGAGAAGAGATATTCACTAGACATAAGTGTTCACTTGAGAGAAGTGCTCACTAAAACAAGTTTTACTGTACATGTACAGTAATTCCCATAGACCAAGGGAAAAGTACTAGTGAGTTAAAAAAGATATGTTTTTCTCAATTGAGCTAATACTACTTTTCCTTGGCAATTCCTATTTTCTTGAATCTGATTTACAATCACTTTACAATCTAAATATCTATGAACATATCTATTTAGCTAGTATTATTACAAACCTAGTTGTTTCTTTTGTGTGTACAATACACTATTTTGTTAATTGGGTGCTTACCAAATATATATAGCAATAATATTCGAAATTTAAAGTACTGTAATTTATTGTAAGGATGACTTTCATATGGTCAGTTAGACATACAAAATAAGTGCTGTTATTCCAGCTGCCCCACCTTTGCACTACTAGCGTTGCTATGACAACCACAGAATTGACCAATGAAATCCCTTGAGACTGAAACTTCAAAAATAAATTCAGATATGTTGAAAATATAATCCCTGTTAAATATCATCGAAATCCATGAACAAGAAATAAAAAAATTATGACATTATTGTTTTTATTTCCTGAACAGGGTGTATGTAAGTAAAACACCTTTGGAACCTCAAAATAGTGATATTGAAAGTTGTTATGCATGCTGTTCCACTTACACAGGTCGAGTTTACATCAAGAAAATGTCTGTGGGACTTAAAAGTGTTCCACTCAAAAATGATGGTGTTCCACTTCAGAAATCAAGGCCACTGAGAAGTAAATCAGCTCGAAGACCTGATATCTGATTAACCTTGACATTTGTACAGATTTGAAGTCAATCTATGATACAATAAAATCAATAAAGGTGACATTTCTTCATATACATTACTCATCCCTATTTTCTAACTATCTCTTAATATAATTTATATCAACTCATTTCAATCATATTCTGTATCTATAAAATAATGATATCAATAAATTACAATTTTTTTATCATAAAATTCATATGGCACAAATACTACTTGAATGCCCTGCACCTGCATTTATACTTTCTCAAGTAAAAATATTTTGTTTTTAAACTTGATTGAAATGAAAGGAAATTTTGTCCTGTCAAAACTAATCTTTTCAAATGCTTTTATTGCAAAAATGACTTTATGTGTCTCCTTATATGGTAAAAGTTCAGTTTGTTCATCACTAGTGACACCTATAAGCAAATGTGAAAACTGCATCATTGCGCTACTTCCAGCTTTCAAATTTTCTTCTTTGCTATAAATCCAATCATCATTTAATTGAAGAAATCGCGATATTCCCGTTTGAGCGGACATGACATCTATATGTAGATTCAATGAATGATTTACAGGAACTGTGGTATGTAGTCTTACCATGGCTTCCCCTCCAGGATAATTATATTTTGACACATATGTACTAAAACCAGTCAGGCCAATATTAAGAAAAATATGCGCCAATACCCCAAGTCCAAGCAGGTAGCGAAATATAGATTTATTACGATTTTTCCATAAATGATCACAAGTTACTGCCGCTGCTGTATTCAAAATAGGAATAACATAGATTATAAATCGTAACTCCTTGTGAGGCAGGAATGAATAGAGAAACACGAAAAGCAACCCTGAGACTATAAGATCAAACAGTTTTGATTGGTAGTATATTCCTATAGCAACAAGAACGATACTTGCACCAAGCGCACGAGGCATAGCAGATGTGAAATACCACCAGAAAGGCATCACTCCCCAGTTGGAGCTCTTGTTGAGTACTGTATTATAATACAACACTTCCCCTTCAGGCCATAACCAACGCTGCCAGAACACAGAGTCAATTAAAATTGTACATCCAAGACATACAATCCCGGCTGGAATGGCATAGTATAAAGTTGTTCCAATGCTTATCCTCCCTCTTATAATTCCAATTAGTAACATCAATCCTAGCAACAGGCAGAGTTCAGACCGGAATGTTATTATTGCGAATGCTGAACTCCAAATGAACTGTCCATTTTTCTTTTCCATCCATGCTGAAACTGCATACATTACAATGATAAATGCATATATATTTGGAAGTGGACGGGTTGAGTAAAATATAAGATGAAACTGTGATGCCAATATTGCAATAGTCCAGCGTGCGACAGATTTCCCATAAAGTCTCCTGACTGATCTCACATAACGCAACAATGCCATCACAACTAAGACACCTAATGATCCTCGAACTGCGATCTGAACAGGAAATTTCCCAAGCTCTAATAAATTGATCAAGTACACAATAGGCGAAGATACTGCACTGACAATTAAAGGTCCGATAAATGTTCTTGGGACGACGCCTGGAAACTCCAAGTGATCATAAGCTGTCAGGTTTGTTCTATGGAATAGTATGTCATGCATGGCCTGAAGGTTGAAACTCTCTTCCACCTTGGTAAATGGGCAGAGATTCAGATGTAAGAGCACCACACTAAGGAGTAGTCCTTCTAACAGCATAGTGGGGAATGTGATTGAGTACCAAATGTGAATACGTCTTTTCTGTTTCTTTTCAACACAGGAATAATCCTGATATTACATTTCTCCAGTTGTAGACTCTGAAATAATAAAAAGATAATAAGATTATCAAGTGAATGGACATCAGCCAATATGAACTATTATCATGATTTCACATCTCATATTATATATATTATTCTTATATTTCGACAAATTCACATTACATAAGATAATTTCTTCATTGAAGAACTTAGATGAACTATGACATAACCACATAACAGCAACGCCAAAGCGTAGCAAATCCCATCGAACAGCCGTGGCTGCCATTTTTTTCAAAATCCTCCTACTACTTTTCAGTTATAGCAAAAATCATAAAATAACATGCATAAAAATGGCCACCATATTCAAAATGGCCTCATTTATTCATTCATTTATTTCTATTATGTTATTTCCAAACTGACAAGGTATTTTGTAAAATATGATATGTTCGGTGGGATTTGCTATTGCTGTTTGCCATTGCTGTTTGGCTAGTTTATTTTAACTGTTTATTGGTAGTTCATTCTGAATTTTAACGTGAATTGTGTACATGTCATGCATTTGTTTCGACTTTTCTTGTTCAATTTGGATCAAAGTGTTCAGATTTGGACCAAAGTGTTCAGATTTGGACCAAGGTGTTCACAATTTGAAGCACTACCAAAAGTCAATGGAAAATTTTATATCCGCCATTTTGCTGAATCCTTTGATTTGATTGGTAACCTGAAAAACAAAATGGCCGACAAGGAAGTATAAATATAATATAAAATTGATTGATCTTAAAAATTTCATTTATTTGCACAGCTCCTTTGATTTAAATCGCGAATATATCAAGCAAAAGTGTAACTGCACACAATGCTTGCAATTGGTGTCTAAAACGTATCAAATTGCCATCATCAAAACAGAAATTTACTCCAATTTGAGTGGCAATTTTCTCAAAAGGCGGAGAAAATCAGAGCTTGATATCTTACAAAACCACATTATAGAATTTGCTTCTTCAGACATTTAGCTGTGAACAGATCGAAAATATTTACATCTTCAATCATTTAAACTTATCCTGTCCTTTGTTTACGATATTGTGCCTCCAAAGCAAGAAATTAAGACATGATTACGATAAATAACCCCTCCTATTTCCATGTTAAAAATGTGGGGTGACACTGAAACAGAAGTTATTTCTTACAGTGCACATCGCATTTAGCAATCAATAGATTATAATCAGTGGATTAGAGCGTAATCTGACAGAGAATCGTCAATTGAAATTTTCCACACCAATTCTAGCTGAAATTCATTCTATTCTACGATAAATACTGCATGTTTGATAAAAGATAATATCAGATGTGAGTATAAAGTGTATTTGAAATATAAGACCAACATTCATATTAGGAATTATCACATTTTGCAATGCAAATTAGCTTGAGGTTAATTTTCCATTGACTTTTGGAAGTGTGAAGGTATGGTGTTTAACATTTGTAAGTCACTCAGGTGTTCCAAGGTTGACAGGCCTGTATTACCCAATAAAATATTTGAAAACAACCAAGAAGTGATCAAAGCATTAGCAAAAAACTCGCAATTCAAATTGTGATGTGGAAAAATGGCGGACATTTGATTTCAAATTTTATGATTACGACATGACCTGTTATATGCAGGAATTTATCCTTGGATGAAGGCCATGATACAGTAGTCATATAAATCTGACCGTTGTATGCTGTTCTTCGATATTCCTTGTTCTTATTTGGATATTTATTTTTTATCATTTTCTTAGCATATACGGTCGTAGATATTATTGCTAACAAATTGCGGTAAACGCTTTTCTGGCCTGTCTGGGTAACTATAGTTACCATACTAACCAAAGTCACACAAATTATCGAGTAATTATTTAGCTCCAACATCAAAGTGTTAAATCTTACCTTAGACAAGTAAAACGCTTGATAATTGACGAAATATAATCAATTGATTTATATTTTCATTATCGCCCGCCATTGCTAAATGTTGTTTCCCGTAGTCTAAATGTAGAACATGTATCGAAACTGAATCATAATTATTTATTACACAGAGATCGATTCCAAAGCCGTTCTCTCATACTTTTCTCATTTTGAAACAATAACTTTTCCAAATAACTTCCCTTCTTAACGACACTGCTTCCCTTTCAACTGAATCTTCCTGTAACAAATACCAATATAGTTTTACATCTAGATTCAGATTAACCCGGAAGTGACCTTGGTATGGCAAAATGAAAAAATTTTAAAATTCAAGTGGCAATTTCCTTCAATTACCAAGCCTTTTACGTGCCTAAGGTAAGATTAAATACTTTATAGTTGAAGCAAAGAAATTTATTCATCATTTGTGTGAATTTGGTTGGGTAGACAGGCCAGGAAAGCATTTCCCGCAATATAGAATCGCCGAGTGTGTATGACCCTCGTATGCAAGAAAATAAGAAAAAATAAATATCCAAATCAGAAAAAATAACAACAAATAACATCATACGAGGGTCAGATTTATATGACTATGATACGTGGCCTAAGAAGAAGGTAAGATTTTCTATCACCATATCCAGGGCTGTCAACTTGGGACCACCTAATATGAGTGACTTCAAAATGTTGGACACCTAAGTCCAAATCTGAACACTTTTGTCCAAATTTTGAACACCTTTAGCCAACTTTTAAACACCTTTGGCCAAAGTTTGAGCACCTTTGCCAAACTTTGAACCCCTCAAATTTTTCGCGCTCGCTACGCTCGGGATGTCGTCAACGGGGGGGGGGGGGGGGGGGGGGGGGGGGGGGGCGGGGGTGGGGGTGGGGGGGGTAGGTACGAAAAATTTCCAATGAACATGCGTGACACATACGGGATTCGCGTGACAAATCCGAACAAATTGCGTTCGGTTTTTTCCGGCGTTCGTATTTTTACCGTATCGTAAACATGTTTCGAAAAAATTTCTACAGAAATATTTTTGCGTGACAATTACCAGGTAAAATGCGTATTTTGCGTGACATTTTCTGTCACGCAAAAAAAACTGGCGTGACTTCAAATTCTTCAGCAAATGCGTGACAAATACGCAAATTGCGGGACAGTTGACAGGCCTGCCATATCCAAACCATGGTGTTTTGAAAGCCCTATAGTCTCAAATTCTAGATAAACATGTCCCTAAAATTTGTATATTTTACATTTTGTACTCATCCACTGATGTATGTATGTGTCGTTATTTTTGTTCCAAACTGTATATTCAAGTGACCCCCCTCAAAAATAAGAAATCCTGCTATTTTTGGATATAACTTTTATTGATATGAACTAATTGACATAAAAGTAAAACGATCCGTATTCATGTGGTTTGGATTCATGGAAAATATATAAATACACATTTAAAAGTAAAACAACATACCCATGTGTGCAAAACAGTGTAAACGTGTGATAATGTTCTAGTGAACTTTTCGAAAAACTTTCCGATTGAAGAGTCATGAACCACCACAAATTTTAATTGAAATTTCAAAGGGACCGATCATTCTCACTTTATATTTTACTGTTATGCCGCAATTTGCCCTCAAATCAAGGCTTGTGGAGAAAGTATGGAGGAGATTTTCCACTTATCTTATCCCCTCACGCCTGAAGTTTTTGAATTAGTCAAATCTGAAGTATAATGAGATTGCTGAACAAGAGATTCAGAGGATACAGTTCGATCCCTTCCCCCGGGTCCTTTGCGTTAACGATTGTCAAAACCTTTGTATTCCTAGGATAATATCAGATAAATCCATTCATTACCATTCTTGATGAGAAGCTTAATAATCGCCACGTGACACGATGCCCGACAGATAATTTGAAAGGCGTGTTACATGTGAAAATTTCGCGCCACACAGTTTTCCCACAATGCAACTCGAATTATTTTAATGGCCGATGGATTACGCCAAATTTGGATGGTTTAAATCTGCTTATTTTCCTCGAATCGGTTTCCGATTTTTCTAAAAGTGAGTACACTTTTTCATTTTCATATGAATCAGATACTTGAATCAGTAAATGTGTTTCTGAGCGAATGGTAGGAAAGAAATGTTCGATCAAAAAGTGATGGTTTGCTGCCGAGTTTTCGAAAGCGTGGCTGGCTTTGATGAGAAAAAATGTGCTTCTTTGGCTTATGTTATGGCTTGTTTCCTGTGCTGTAGCATATTTCCAATTGACAATGTGACTCCAGCAACCAGGACTTAGTAGCTTGATGATGGTACGTCTAAACGAGCACATGATGGCATTGAGGCATAGATCTAAGTTTTGAATTTTTGAAAACCAGACATACATTAACAAAATGTGCAATCTAGGCTAGGCCTACTGTATCCCCAGGTGATTTCTGATATATTTATAACAGCATTAAACATACCTGGCAAGGATATGAGTTCTTTATTTTAGGTGAGGCACGGAGGCCTTAGGCATGAAGTTGGGGGAGCAAGTTTAGAAGGGTCGTGTTGCAAGATGGGCCACTAAAATGTTTTATATATCTTGTTAAATTATTATTCTAAAACATATTATACTCCCTGACAATGCTAATCTTCAACATACCACTTGGGCGGGCACATCTTTCACCATAAGCATGGCAATATATCGCAAAAGAGGTCAAAAAAGTATTTTTTCAACTCCGGCGCTTCAAATTGAAAAATTTTCAAGGTCACAAATACATTTTGTCAAATTAATGCCTTGTATTAACCCTTTTGTCTGCAACCTTTTAACACTAAGTTGCAGGGGGGCGGAGCATTTTTTATTACTCGTCTGATTTCAATCATGTTTGTATTGTTGTAAACCTTATTCAATAACTGCTCAGAAAAGTCTTGTATTCTTTGAAAAAAGTAGGTCAACATAATAACAAAAATCCCTAGGGGATACTGTACTTTTACTTAATTTGGCACTACTTATTTTGACAGATTTGCTGTTTTTAACATTTGGCGGCTACTTAATTTGACGGAATTGCAATATTAAAAAGTATATACTACACATATGTACGATTGAAATATGAAATATTGAATTTGGTGACTACTTAATTTGGCAGGCTTTAACAATTTGGTGGATCCGCAAAATTAAAACGGCACCAAATAAAGTAGAAGTACAGTTAAGTAATACATATTTAACCCTCTTAGAAAAGGAAATACTTGTCATTTATTGATACGTTTTGGCTTAAATCAGGTCTGTTGAATTGAGAAAATTAAAGTTATTAAGGGTGTATGCAAGGGTCTATTTTATTCAATTTCGATTTCGTTTCAAAAAAACTGCTCAAGGGTACAATCTAACTTTTGATCCTATACCTTGAAAATATTTAGACATATCAGGATAGAGAGATTTTCTATAAAAAAATTGTAACTTACATATTCCTTGTCGGTAGAATAAAACAACTTTGACGATAATTAGACAGCCAAAAAACAGCCCAAATTTTGCCTTGTTTTGCTATGTTTAAGATAAAAATTGTTTTGATTTTCACCACCTGAAAATGTGATGATAAAAAAGAGTTTATAATCTAATCCGATAATAAATATTTTACAACCTATATTTAAATTTTAATAACAAATTAGGAACATACAAATGAACAGCAAAGATATTAAGATAATGATGTGATCTGTTCTAGCAACATCATACTCATATAGAAAGCTCTCGTAAATGATTGGTATCGATATGGTGAACTTTTTGAACACACGTTTCTCTTAAACCAGTTATCAAACAATTTTGATAATTTTACACATCGTCAATATATTAAATGGTCATCTTTTGAATGGTAACAATATAATTTAAAAATATATATACTGTACTCCCACTAATTTTTGACGATATTATATTTCTTGTTTTTGGTATTTTGAATTTTCTCGGCTTTTATACATGTATTTCGCTAATTTTCAGTTTTTTGAAATTTCACCGCTATTAATTTCCGTGGATTTGTCATACAGGATTACTGTTTCGACTTTGATATCAGCCATGGTTGTTCCTTCACCCAATGATTTTGGCTTCTTATTAAGCCTTTTCATTAGAAAGTTCACTTTAATACAGTAATTACGATCTCTCTTCTAATTTCTCTTTTTCAAAACTCAAAATGTCACATTTTTACCTGTTATTGCCCAGCACTAGACAAAAATATTGTCAACATTGAAATCCCCGGGAATTTCCTTGGAATTTTATGACTATCAAATTTCGCAAATTAAAACTGAAGGAATTTTGCGGCTATTATATTTCCCAAATTTCCAAAACTCACGAAAAGCGCAAAATATAGTAGCGCCGAAAAATTAACGGGAGTACAGTATATACTTTTCTCTTTATTGTTTTAAAAAACACATGTGACACTTCTTTTATTCTTGGTATCATATGTTCGCATTGGAACAAAATGAGTATAAGCACAAAGTTTGTTTTTAGGTCCCTTGATATTGTAATTGCACAAAGGAAAGTTTGGTTGATTTAAAAAAGTATCTTGTTAATGAAATAAAAGGTTTATCTTAATTGTTATCTATTTTGGGTTTTTTGTTTTTGATTACTTTTTGTTAAATCAACCAAATTCACCTTTGTATAACTATTATTATAATATTGAGAGGTCTAAGAAAATGTTGTTACATATGCTATTTTGTTCCAACAAGGTTCAGAAAGATATTTTATTTCATTCTCGAGATGGTAATGGTAGAAAGGAACAAAAAACAATTACACTAAAAAACAAAAAATGTTAACAAAAAACAGTTATATAAGGGGAGGCATCAAAAGTTCGATGTCGGATAGAAAACTAAATAAATCTAGTTAGGGGGGAGGGGGTTCAAACCCATTTCAGTTTGCTATCCGACAAATTTCAACATTTCAAATTTTCGGCAATTTAGACTCAGAATGCCTTGGAATTGTTTTAAAAAAAGATTTTACCTGCTGCTTTCTTCGTCAAGATCATTCCAATGGATTCTATTCTATCAATAGTTGTTAAAAGCCACAAATTACGATAATTTACAAAAAGTAGATCGCATTTAGCAATAATTTTTCAAATTCTGAAACCGGAAGTCAGCAATCAACTTTCGTGGTATTTAGTTTTGGGGGGAGGGGGGTCAGAGTCAAAACTAGATTTATTTAGTTTCCGATCCGACATCGAACTTTTGATGCCTGCCCTAAAATGTAGGCATAGCTATTTTTTCTTTCATCAAAATTTTTTTTCGCAGTTTCACAGACTGGTATCGAAAATTTGTCCGCTGTGACGGAGCATGCTATTTTGCATAGATACACTAAGAAACCCGAACAATTAATTTTTTTACTCATTTATTTCGCTATACTAAAGAAAGTTTCTTACTCCATGCAATGGGTATATCATTTGCGGGTAACTTTAACTTTTGTTTGAAGTCCAACAATGCTAAGATTAAAAGCTATTGAAAACTGCGCCGGGGTTTCATACTCCAAAATGTACCATTTCTTTTATTTCTTTTTAATGGTACAATATAGTGACACGATAATATTTACATATGTTTTCAGCATAACTCTGAAGGTATTAATGATATCTTGATGTATTGGGTATTTTTAATATTTTTTATAAAAAATAATGTTTACATTTTTTGTCAGCTGTGACGGAGTAGTTTTAACTGTGAACTACGTTAAGAATTTAGATTCAAATTATACCTTTTAAAAGTACCCTTAGAAGAGAGAACGTCACGAATCACTTTCCTAAATTATGACAAGTAGCCTCTGGGAGATCTGGGGTAATGTAAATCTGAGATATAAAAACGACCACTCTTAGCATTTTTCGGAGGTTTGTACTGAAATCAACATGAATCAACATGGTGTAAACTCAACATAATATTTCTAATACGTTTTCGCCAAGACGTCTTGGAATGTCACGTGTAGTGTAAATAGGGCTAATATGAATTTATTCGAAATAGCGAACAGACATCCTGCATTCCGACAGATGTATAACATTTTACCACATAATATTACTGTATATAAGTTACCATAAAAAATGACCATGTCAGGTGATGGATCCACAGTAGGCCTAAGGAAAGGCAAATACCCTATACTGAAGTAAAGTTGACTATCATTTTCATGAGTTACCATGCATAACTTGGATTACAGTACAAACTGAGAAAAGAAGCTTAAAGAGTGGTCGTATATCCATCTCAGAATTTGAATTGTGTACTTTTATTCCGTTTTATTTTTCAGAATACTTTACGAAAGAGATTTAACACGCTCCCTCCTCTATAACGTGTAGTTATAAAGAGAATCTAAAGAGAATCTAAATTCTTAACGTATTTCAGATTTGAAACTGCTCCGTCACAGCGGACAAAAAATTTAAATATTATTTTTTATAAAAAAAATCAAAATTACCTAATACATAAATATCTCATTAATACCTTCAGAGTTATGCTGAAAACATGTAAATGTTATCGTGTCGCTATATTGTACCATTAAAAAGAAATAAAAGAAATGGTACATTTTGGAGTATGATACTCCGACGCCGTTTTCAATAGCTTTTACTCTTTGCGTTGTTGGACTTCAAACAGAAGTTAAAGTTACCCGCAAATGATATATTCATTGCATGGAGTCAGTAATTTTCTTTGATATAGCAAAACATATGAGTAAAAAAATAAATTGTGTGGATTTCCTAGTGTTTCTATGCAAAATAGCACACTCCGTCACAGTGGACAATTATTTCGATACCAGCCTGTGAGTTTATAAGGAAAATTTATTTTCAAAATTTCATAGAAATTTTTGCATTACTTCCTTAAAAATTTCGCATTTTAGACAACATGGTCCAAATTACCTCGCATTGTGACTGATCGATGTAGAAATGAATGCAATTCCAAACATTGAAAATGGGTGATGCTACTTATAAAAAGCCAAATGCTCTAACACTTAAAAGTGTTACCTGATGAAACTTTCAGATATTCATAATAATTAAATTGTCATTCAGATCACTGAATGTCAAGGATATTTCTTCATCACTTACAGATTTATTCCATGTTAGTCTGCCAGGGCTTTGATTTATTGGCAGTACATGTAGTACCTAAACAGAGTCTTCTCTTGAACTAAATTAGTTACCTGGTCAAACTTCAATAAAAATAGCCCTTACACTCACATGATTCTTTTGAAAGACATTACAGTTTATTGCAACTTCTGTGGTGCACCATCGACAAGCCGTCTTGAGTGTGCTCGACAAGGTTGACACATTGAAATGTGTGACCATGTAATTTGCACCATAGGGCTTATTGTTCTTTTTCGTGATACTCTGCGAGAAAACTCATTAAAATATTCACTTGTTCTGGGGTCATACAAGAATACCCTAAGCAATATTCTCTTTCTGTGTTTGTCTAATTTGAATTTTACCTTTTGCTTTCAGGTCCGTACTATCTGTTGGACAAATTGTGAAGGATTATGTCTTCATCTAAAACCAGGGGCAGTAGCAAAGGTGGTAGAGCAAATGGTGAGAAAATTTAATTATTAATTAATTATATATGTTATACTTGGAACCTTAAGGAAGCCTTTAAACAAATTATATAAAAAGTAGTTCTGATATTATCATCAACTTTTTACATTTGAAAATTAAAGCTGAGTGTTGTAAAAAGAAATGTCAACCATTTTACAATTGTCAAAAATTTGTCGAAGTGGAATTTTCTGTTAGAAAAGGTACTGACTTTTTCAAGATCAATCAGATGCAAAGGGGGTGACAAAATTGCAAAATATACAGTTGACCTACCAATATATTCCTTGCCATCACAAATATATATTCCCCAAAAGATCCACAATATGTTATACATTGGTGAAGTTATTAAAGATTCAAAGTGGAAAATGAAAACCATTAGAAGAATAGAAAATTTTAAATACGCTTTGAATGTATTATATTGTAAAAATCTTTATTTTTCTCAAATACAGTATACAATTTGGGTATTTTTAGAAAATATGACAAGGAATGATATGAAAATCAAAATGTTTTAGTTAAACAGGCAATGCACCTTTTTTGAAGGAAAAGGGACAAAATATTATTTGAGAAATGTTACTCAAACGCTCAATCAAACATGATAAAAACTTTAATTTTGGTCAATACTGAAGTGTAAAAAAAATTACTTGCATAGAAAACAGCATTTGAAGTTCAGAGATCAAAAGAAGTGAATTACCACTTTTCACAAAGTGTATATTTTAAATAACTCTTGAATTAAAAGATGGCATATGGTCAACTCTGATGTGATCTGTTTGAGCTGTTTTTGGTGTCAAATGAAAGATCAGGTACTTATTAATCCATTGGAAATACTATGAAGATCAAATGTGAGACTTCATTTACGCATTTTGTTCCTTTAAGTTTAGTCTACTTGTTATCACTGATTCTGCCTTTAATATTTCTAAGAAGGCACCATAGACCACTTTCTAATGCATTCAAGTAATAAGAACCCCAATGAGAGACTTTTCGATGAGTTGACTAAATTGATATAGAGATAAACATATAACAAGCATTCAGCAGTTTTGCCAAGCATTTTGGAAAGTGATCCATGTAGTGTTTCTACTTGCATATTGTAAGCAGTTGAACCTTGTTCAATGTTATCTCATTCTCTTAAGTTTCGATTTTTCCAAGTGGGACAATTTCATGGCCATTTTACAAAACATGCTCCAAACGGCAAAACATACCAAAATCACCCACTAATATGAGTCCCCAGAATTTTACCTTTGGGGCTATTTCGAAGACAATGTGTATATAAGCAAGCCGAGAACCATCAGAGAGTTAAAACAAGCGATTAGAAAGGATTCTGTTAGTGTGTATTCAAAAAACTACATCCGATGCGTTCAGGTTTGCCTCCAAAGACAAGAGCGAGATTTTGAACATGTTTTGTAAAATGGCCATAAAGTCGTAACCATTTGGACACGCTTAACCATCGCGTAAGCAGGCGTCACCGTACAGCGTCAAAAAATACAGTAGTACAGTTTTCTGTACGGTGACGAAAATTAACTGAGTTGAAGCAAAAACTATAATGAGGGTTTTAAAAAGATTAATTAGATGAAAATAAATACGATTTCGGGTGTAATAAAAACAGCATTCTCTTAGGAATGGTTTTAACTTTCTAATTATGATAAAAGTTTTTCGAGCACTGCTCGGATTTTTTCTGACTGGATCGGCCCACATAATCGACTCAAGAGAAAAATGGTGTTTTTTTCACTTTTCGTTTGGTTATTATTTTCCCTGTCGTCTGAGAGCATGGATTATTTTTATGAGAATATGTATTTGTTATCTACACATTTTAGAACAGATGAATATTCGGCAAAAAATCATTCAGTGTATTTATTTAAAAAAGATCAGAACTGTACGGTGACGCATCAGCTGTACGGTGACGCTTCCTTAGATTTTATGAAGTGCTCTAAGCTTACTGTTCGAACAAGAGGTAAAGAAGCGTCAGATCTACATGTACATTATCACTGGTAAGTATCAAGCGAATGTTACAGCCGTCACCTTCGCATTTAAGATGGCGGACAGGAAGTATTAATTTCGATATTTTTAGTTTTCATGGAATTAACTATTTGAAAGTTGACGTAATGCTTTGGTATCATTTGAACTAAACCATAAAGGTTTTCACTCAGAAAAAATCCGAACAGTGCTCGTAAAACGTTTATCATAATCAGAAAGTTAAAACCATTTCTAAGAGAATGCTGTTTTTATTTCACATGAAATCGTATTAGTTTTCATCAAATTAATTTTTTTAAACCCTTGTCATAGTTTTTGCTTCAAAGCAGTTAATTTGCGTTACCGTACAGAAAACTGTACTCCGCTATTTTTTGACGCTGTACGGTGACGCTTGCTTACGCGATGGTAAGGCGTGTTGGAATAGACCAATGAAACTTGGTTGAATGAAAGAACATTTAACAACATTTAATTTGAACATTTAACAACATTTAATTTTGCCAAATATGACTTTAAACCTATACTAGATTACTGATTTATTATCCCACCAAACGAAGTTCTAGGGGGATATAGAAAAGCCGTCCGTCCATCCCTACATCCGCCTCCGACCCCGGTCAAAATGTGACCTGAGATGAATTTTAATATAATTTCAAAATTTGTAGCTTATATTTGTTATAAATTCATAACATGTTATAATTATCAATAAGGGTTCTATTCAATACAGAGTTCATTAATTTAGTAGCTAATTAAAAAAAATTGAGGTCACATTAACTTTGGCAGTGGGGTAGGCGCGACTTGACACAAAACGACTTTCTAGCAGTCAGTTTTCAATGTAATCTATACCTCAAAACATGATTTTTTGGGTTATTTTAAAATAGCAATGAAGTTCTCAAAATTTGCCATGAAGATTTTAGGGTAAAACAGATTTTTCAAAAATATTAGTCAATAGTACATAGAATACTACAGTATAATTTTGAACAAGTGACAAAAAAAGAAAACATTTTTTAAATCAATGTTCTCTTCATCAAATCTCTCAAAAGTTGGTGAAAAGCTTTATTTTGGCTTATTAAATATACACTGTGAAACATGTTGAAATCTTTTTACTCAGATATGAATAAATTGATATTTTGTCCTTTTTCTCTAGGTCACATCTACCCCATGCGTCCACCATCATAAAAAATATTTGTTCATCAATAATATTTTCTTGTAATAGGTAGATGTGATAAATTCCTACATAAGAAAAGGATAAACACATTTATGTCAAGTATCTAGAGTACTTAATTTCAATATTTATTTTCAATACTTGTTTAAATATTATGTTTTGCCCCAAGTCGCACATACCCCACCTCATGTAAAAATATGAAAATTTTCAATAAATCCTCTTCCCTTCAAAAGTTGATGGTAATTTTAATACTTATTTCATTGTTACCTTCTCTGAAATGTTAACAAATAAAAATAGCCCATTTAGATCACCCATGGTATCATTTTAAATCATATTTTCATACATTAAGATACTAGATAATATGCATTTAAACATTGATTACCAACATATCATATGAGTATACTTTCCTTCAAGGCAGAATCTGATCTAAAGCATTGACAAAATTGCAAGCAACATGTACAAAATCCCATAAGATCTATGATATCCAATCAATTGGTAAAGACTAAAAATATGAGCCCAAAATGTAATAAGATTGAAATAATTGTTTCTTGTGCTTGTCTTTGTCTGTTCATTATCTGTTTTCACACCATCGGTAGTATATGGTCGTCGTGATGACTATGTTTTCATTATGGTGATTGTCCCACTTTTTTGTCATCCCAATTTCGGGATTTAACTGATTATCTTTTAGGTGGCTGAATTGTTTTCTGGCGGCCAATTTGAAGTTTTTTTGTTAAATCTTGTCATTGTCATTTCAGGAAAACCCCTCTTTCAATTTTCTCCAAATCCACACACCTGTTTGTAACAGAAATGCAAAAGATCTCTACATATTATCTCCACTCTGTTATATTGCCTTAAATTTTAGTTCAATATGTGAGCTATTGATTCATATGACCACAGTCAACATTTTTTCTTCAAAGTTTTTAAAAATAATAGAACAGTTTTCCTGGTTCATACATTGTCTGGCTATTTGGTGGTGTGATCTCGTTCACGTAATGTGTCTTGTTAAATATAGCTACTGTGCCTAAAAATTGATACCACAGCATTGAATTAATGGGAGTTGACTTTTAATTAATTAAACAGACTGTTATTTTATATCTAGTTAAGATATTGTTTGATATAAGTTCATTCCAAAATTTACATTGATGGTACCAACTTGAAGCTAGGAATTTGAACTGTGTAGAAATAGGATATATATGTGGTGGATCTGGTCTGTGTGACATAAGGATATTAATTATGCATTTTATTATACAGGGTGTTCAGTAAATATGGTGAATAGGTCTGGCATTTTGTTATATTGTATGAAATACAATGTATCAGCAAATAAATATGAATAGAATATTGAGGGTATAACACCCTGTAGGATTATACAATAAACTCAGTTTTTCTTTTTTGGAAAAGCTCAGGGTACCCATACTCTTGGTTGCTATGGTAACCATATTATCAACCAATCTAATGGTAGAACTGATATCTTTAAATAAATCAATTCAGAAATGTCCAATGCATATGCTCATAAATTTTCATATTTGGACCAATACTAACAGTAACAAAATACCAGACCAATGTACCTTTTTTTCTTTACAGTATACTATTTTGTAGCGATTTAGTATGAATAATTAGTCTCTGCATACCATTTTGCCATTTGACGTCAATTGTATTCTGTATATTGAATATTTTTGGTTAATTTGTTATCACAGGCTGTTATCGAAAGATTTGTGCGATGTGACGGGTCGTGCTATTTTTCATAAAAACACTAAGAATACTTCACAATTTATTTTTTAACTCATATGTTTCGTTATATCAAAGAAAATTACCTATTCCATGCAATGGATATATCATTTGCGAGTAACCTTCACTTCTATTTGAAGTCCAATAACGC